TTTCCTCTTAACCCAGCTTTTGCTGTGTCCCATAAGTTTTAGTAACTAGTGTCCTCATTTTCATTCGTTTCCAGGAATCTTTGGGTTTCCTCTTTGATTTCCTTTCTAAGCCACTCATTGTCCAATAGTGAGCTGTTTGATTTCCAGGTGTTTGGTTTAGTTTTATGTTTGTGTGTGTGATTTACTTCTAATTTCAGCGCATTATAGTTTGAGAAGATTGTTGTTACAATCTCTATCTTCTTAATTTTATGGAGGTATGTTTTGTGGCTCAGCATATGGTCTGTCTTGGAGAATGTTTCATACACTCTTGAGAAGAATGTATATTCAGGGTTTTTAGGATGAAGTGTCCTGTATATATCTACTAAGTCCCTTTCTTACATTTTTTCCCTCAGAAGTATGTCCTTGCTAAGCTTGAATCGGGTTGATCTATCAAAAGGTAATAAAGTGGTGTTGAAGTGTCTCACTAGTATTGTGTTTCTGTAGATGTCTTTCTCCAAGCCTGTGGGTAGTTGTTTTAAGTACTTTGCTGGTCACTCATTAGTTGCATATACATTTAGTATTGCAAGTTCTTCCTGCTATACAGATCCCTTGTTCAATAAGAAATGGTCTTCACTGTCTCTTGTGACCTTCTTCAGACTGAAATCAATGTGGTGTGATACTAGGATGGCTACCCCGACTTTTTTATGGGCATTGTTTTCCTGTAAAATTGTTTTCCAGTCTTTGACTTTGCGCTTGTGTTTTCTTTGACTATTGAGATGTGTTTCTTGCAGGCAGCAGAATGTAGGTTTCAATTTTCTAATCCATACTGCTCCTCTGTGTCTTTTAATGGGGTGTTTCACCCATTGGTGTTGAGAGAAATTAGTGTTATGCTGTTTTGTTCCATTTTTCTGTTGAAATTTTGTGTATTTGAAGGACCTGTCTTTTCTTAAAGTAGCCCAATTAGTTGTTCTTGTAACCATAGTTTTGAGTCTATAAAGTTCCTGAGAGCTGGAGTGATAGAACAGCGGGTAGGGCGTTTGCCTTGCACGCAACCAACATGGCCGAACAGAGTTTGATTCCTCCACCCCTCTCCGAGAGCTTAGCAAGATACCGAGAGTATCTTGTCTGCAAGGCAAAGTCTGTCAAGCTACCCATGACGTATTTGATATGCCAAACACAGTAACAAGTCTTACAATGTTACTGGGCCTGCTCAAGCAAATTGATGAACAATGGGAAGACAGTGACAGTGACAGTTAAAGTCCCTGAGTTGTTGTTTTTCTGTAAGACTGTATGTTGTTCTTTCTGTTATGAATTAGAGTCTTGTTGGGTAAAGAATTTTTGGTGAGGCATTTATTTCATTGAGTTTTTTCACTATATCATACCACTGTTTTCAGGCCATGAGGGTTTCATCAGACAAATTAGCTGTGAATCTTTTTTTTTAATTAGAGATTAAGACTTTATTTTACTTTTTAAAAAATTTTTATTAGTAAAACACCATGAGGTACAGTTGTAGACTTACAAATTTTTGTGCTTGGGTTTCAGTTATTCAATGATCCAGTACCCATCCCTCCACCAGTGACCATTCTACATCATTTATATTTTTTTTAATTTTTCTTAGTGAAACATCATGAGGTACAGCTGTAGATCTACAAAATTTTGTGCTTGGGTTTCAACTGTACAATGATCAAACACTCATCCTTCCACCAGTGCCCATTTTCCACTACCACGGGTCCCAATATCCCTCCCACCCCCACCCCACCCCCATCCCACCCTGCTTCTGTGAATCTTAACAATGCTCCTTTGTAGGCAATTTAGTTCGTTGATCTTGCTGCTTTCAGAATTTTGTCACTATCTAAGGTTTTGGTCATTTTGATCAGGATGTGTCTTGGGGTATTTTTATTCAGATTTCTTCCACCTGGTACCCTTGGGGCCTCCTGAATGTGGTCGCATGTTTCTTCAGCTCTGGAAATGTCGTAGCAATGATGTCTTTGACAGTTTCTTATTCATCAGGGTTTTCTTCCTGTCCCTCTGGGACTCCAATAATTCTTATATTACTCCTCTTAGCTTCATCTCCATCTTCTTTTGCTATCTCTTTCTGAACTGTGAGTCTTTTGCCCATTTTCTCTTTTTTCTGGAGAGTCTCTGGACTTCATCTTCAAGCTCACTGATTCTGTCCTCAGCAGCTGTTACTCTGCTGCTGAGGCCTTCTACTGAGTTTTTCAATTCACCTACCAGGTTTTTCAGGTTTGACATTTCCGTTTGTAGCAGAACAACTTTTAAGAAGTAATAAAATCAGGTCTGGACTAATAGCACAGCGAGCAGGGCATTTGCCTTGCATGCAGCTGACCCACGTCCAAATCCCAGCATCCCATATGATCTACTGAGCACCGTCAGGTTTTAATTCCTGAGAGCAAAGCCGGGAGTAAACCCTGTACATCGCCGGTGTGGTGCAAGAAACAAAAACAAAACAAAACATAACAAAAGAGTGTAGCTGATTGAAAAAAAAAATTGTAATGACAGTGTGTGTAGGAGACATGCAGAAAAGGCATATTTGTGTAGTGTGAGTCGAACTGCAACTTGATGCAAATACTTCAAAAATTCTCTTGGACATGGTCAACAAAATAAAGGTAAGTCCAGGGATATGTTCCAGACGTTTGGTTTTCTGTCAGAAAACTCGAGGATGGCACTGAAGAGTTCCGGTGAAATAGTGTCACCCTGCTTAACCACTCTCTTTATGTTGATGGTCATTTCCTTATAGAATGGAGAGATCCTGGTGGTGAATTTGTAACACATAATGCGATTTGGAGATGACCAATGCACTAGAGCCATTACTGAATGAATTCCATGGAATGTCAAAAGAACTCCTGGACGCTCACCTATGAGATAGTAGGACTTCTTCGTCAAGACCATGAATGTATGGTTTGATGTTCTTCATGTTCCTGGAGTGAGCAGACACCATTGGGCTACATTAGTACACGACAGGGATGAATACAGATTTCAATGCCTGCTTGAGCAAATTGATGTGAAACGGGAAGACAAGTGACGAGTGACAAGTCAGAAAATTATATGAACAGATAGAGTTTATCCACTCTAAATTTATTGTAACTTCATTGGCATATGTAATCTATGTAATCCATGCCCATGGTTATATAATGGATAGAGGTGGTATATTTAGAAGTGGTATATGATTTCCATGGTAATTATTTAAATTAGCCATTTGCAATAAATTGGAGAAGAGTGTAATAAAATTGAAGAAGAAAAAATATCTGCCTTGGTTACACACTATCTACTTTCAGTATAAGTTTTAAATAGAAGCTCCATACCAATCTGTACTATCATGACTAAAATTGTTCTGTGTCAAGATCTCATGACCCAAAGTGCAATGGTCATTTCAGTTAAAATCTCATTTTAGGAGCTTTTTTTTCAGAGGGCACTGCATAACGAGCAATTTATTTTCCTGTTTGATCCAAGAGTTATTTGTGTTGTGCAAAATAAATGTGTTGAACTAATTGTTGGGGTTCTCAGTAAACATGCACAGGAAGCACTTATGGGCCCTTTCTTATACACAAGTCATGTCCACAAAAATCCCCTATTCAACTATCTTAAACTAAGAAGCTTCTGCACCTCCAAAGAAACAGTGACCAAAATACAAAGACAGTCTACAGAATGGGAAAGGATATTCACCGAATACACATCTGACAAGGGGTTGATATCCAGGATATACAAAATACTGGTTAAACTCCACAAGAAGAAAACATCCAACCCCATCCAAAAATGGGGCAATGAAATGAACAGAAACTTTCTCAAAGAAGAAATCCGAATGGCAAAAAAGCACATGAGAAAATGCTCTACATCATTAATCATCAGGGAGATGCAGATCAAAACTACAATGAGATACCATCTCACACCTCAGAGACTGGCCCACATTCAAAAGAACAAAAGCAACCGATGCTGGCGTGGATGTGGCGAGAAAGGGACACTCCTTCACTGTTGGTGGGAATGTCCACTGGTTCAGCCCTTCTGGAAAACAGTATGGACGATTCTCAAAAAATTAGAAATGGAGCTCCCATTTGATCCAGCAATACCACTCCTGGGAATATATCCCAGAGAGGCAAAAATGTATAGTCGAAGTGACATCTGCACTTGTTTGTTCATTGCAGCCCTCTTTACAATAGCCAGAAACTGGAAGAAACCTGAATGCCCAAGAACAGATGACTGGTTAAAGAAACTTTGGTACATCTACACAATGGAGTACTATGTAGCTCTTAGAAAAGATGAAGTCATGAAATTTACAGACAAGTGGTACAATATGGAAAGTATCATGCTAAGCGAAATGAGTCAGAAAGAGAGGGATAGACATAGAAATATTGCATTCATCTGGGGGATATAAAGTAACAAAGTATGAGATTAATACCCAAGAATAGCTGAGATCAGCACCAGGAGGATTACTCCATAACTTAGAGGCCAGCCGGGTATCCTAGAGGAAAGGGCAGTTCAGATAGAGAGGGGAGCACCAAATAAAGGATGTTTGGAGGATCCTCCCAGGAGGGGAGATGCATGTCGAAAGTAGACTATGGACTGAACATGTTTGCCACTCAATGCCTCTTTTGCAGACCGCAACACCCAAAAGGAGAGAGAGAACACAGGGGATTGCCCTGCCACAGAGACAGGGGGGATGGGGGATGGGGGTGGGAGGGATATTATCCATGGTGGTGGAAAATGGGCACTGGTGGAGGGATGGGTATCTGATCATTGTATAATTGAAACCAAAGCACAAAAATTGTAAATCTACAACTTTTAAAAAAATAAAATAAAATAAAGGGAAAAAAAAACCCTATTCCTTGTTTGCCAAACAGAAAAAAACAAAAGGGCTCAGAATAAGATATTGCAATGACCAGAGTACTTCGAGAAAGAATTGTTGTTACTCTCTGTACAGTTCTCTAACTGCTTAGGTGGCAGATATTACATCAATACATACATTTTCCAGTATACACAGGATTCATGAATTAAGAATATTTGTTGTGTTCACTTCGGCAGCACATATACTAAAATTAGAATGATACAAAGAAGATCAGAATGGTCCCTACTCAAGGATGACACACAAATTTGTGAAGCATTTCATATTCCACAGCACCCAAAAGGAGAGAGAGAACAAGAGAGAATGCCCTGCCACAGAGTCAGGATGGGATGGGGGTGGGGGGTGGGGGGTAGGGATATTGGGATCACTGGTGGTAGAGAATGGGAACTGGTGGAGGGATGGGTACTCGGTCATTGTATAACTGAAACCCAAGCACAAAAACTTTTAAGTCTACATCTGTGCCTCATGGTGTTTCACCAATAAAAATTTTTTTAAAAAAGTCAAAAAAAAAAAAGAATATTTGTTGCTGCTAAGCCAAGACATCAGAATGAGCCTCTGAATGCTGCCCTGCAAGCAGGAAGCAGAACTGAGGCCCCACTTCTCACTAAGTCACTGTCACTGACCTCCTGTTGTTCATAGATTTGCTCGAGCAGTCCCAGTAACGTCTCCATTGTGACACTTGTTACTGTGTTTTGGCATATTGAACAGGTCACAGGTAACTTGTCAGGCTTTTCTGTGCGGGCAAGATACTCTCGGTACCTTGCAGGACTCTCCGAGAGGGGCAGAAGAATCAAACTTGGGTCAGCCATGTTGGCTGCATGCAAGGTAAACACCCTACCCACTGTGCTATCTCTCCAGCACCTTACTAAGTGGGCAAGTTAAAAACTTGTGAGTCCAGTGACCTGGAGAAGTATAGCATGCTTTCATATACCTGCCTAGTCATACACTATATTGGCAGTACAAGACAGCAGTTTCCAACTCTCTTACACATTCTTAATCTAGATTGACCTTAAAGTATCAGTATGAGCCTTCTCTTTGCCCTATGTGTATCCAACCACAAGAATGTGGGGGACATTATCTGTAGAACCTACATGTCCAGTTCCAAATTTTCCTCTGACTTTTTAATCATAACAACATAGCTTTGACAACATAACTTTGACAAGACAATATATACCCTGATGTTCCTTTGACAATGCTCATCTTATAACTACTTGTACTCTCATCAGCGAGTCTTTCACTGTGGTGAAGTCCATGTAATTGATAAAAAATAGAATAAGTCTAGGATTTTCTGAAGTTTATTTCAGATATGAGGGAGTGAAGGGCTGACAGAAAAGCTTCAGTTTCCCTTACCTGAGGTTTCTGGAAGGCACCCACAGTAGGCTGGGTTGGGATAACCTAGGGTATTTTTCTCCCAGGCCAGATAATTCAGCACATCATTGTTGCTCCACTCCTGGCTGCCTCCATTGTGTTGAAGGCCCTGTGGCATAAAGCAGAGAGAGGTCAGGTGAGGAAGACTAGGCACTGGAGAACTTCTTGCATCAAGCATTCACAGAGCATCACATTTTCTCCAACCATCAAAAAGTAGATCTTCCCCTAAGGAGCACATCTAGAGTTGAACTATAAGAAACTTTGCTTAGCTCTTTTCTCTGATTGGTAAATTGGACACTCTAATTGAACGCACTGTAGCACTGTAACACTGTCCTCCTGTTGTTGATCGATTTGCTCAAGTGGGCACCAGTAATGAGACTTGTTGTTACTGTTTTTGGCATATCAGATACATCATGGGTAGCTTGCCAGGCTTTGTCATGTGGGCAAAATACTCTCTGTGGCTTGCCCCTCCAAGAGGGGTGGAAGAATCGAACTTGGGTCATATAAATAAAAATTGTAATACATACATAATTAGTAAAAAATTATTAATTTGAGGTAAAATCAAAGTATTCATGGATTGACCCAAATGTGGTGCTCTATATGATGTATCCTTATCAATTTAGTGAAAATAGAGCCTAGAGAGCCTAGAGTGTGAGAAACATCACCTCGAGATCTCCACACTGAAAAATTCACAAAACTGTATCAGGAAGCCTATAGTAAGAGGTAAAGGTAAAAGGTAAAGGCCCTCCCGTTGATCGTCGATTTGCTCGAGCGGGCCCAGTAATGTCTCCGTTGGAGACTTTGTTGTTACTGTGTCTGGCATATCGAATACTCATGGTAGCTTGCCGGGGTCTCCAAGAGGGGCGGAGGAATCGAACTCGGGTCTGCCATGTTGGCCGCATGTAAGGCGAACGCCCTACCACTGTGCTATCGCTCCAGCAAGAGATAGATAAAAAAAATTAATAGAGAAGGATTGGCCACAGCTAGAGATGAGAGAACTCTATAGAACTCAGATCATCTGATGGCTTCAGTTCCAGAACACTCTCTAACATCTCTAGGTGTACTCAGTGTCAAGGGCAGACAAAGAAGTCACAATATCCACTGTGGCAAAAACAACATAAAGGTGTCAGATTGCAGAGTTTATTTCACCTCTGTGGAGTCATGGAGTCCCATCCAGATGTTCCCATGCTTTGTCCCTGTGTTCCTGGTCATGGAGGATCACAGGAAGTGAGAACAGATACCAGGCATCCTTGGGACCTCTTCTGGCATGCCAACTGGTAGAGGAAGGCAAAGATTTGGGAGGAGCTTCAGATAACCAAAATCAAGGCTTAAGACTCTCAGTTTATGAATGTAGGAAAGCCAGCAGATGGAAAGTTAACTTGCAGAGTCAACAGAAATTCCCTCTAACCCACTTTGCAAAACTTATATCCGCATCCACCCAGGTTTGGGGTGACAAAGCCAAGGCCTAGCAGTGGGAACCATAGGCCATAGAGCCTTTAAGACAAAGGACTGATGGGCTGAATTTAGCATGGGATTAGAGGATGGGCAAGATATATGTCAGACACAGATTGGAGCAGACTTGGGAGCCGAGCCCAGTTCAATGATAATCACACATATTTGGGGACTGAATGATTTTACTCTGAATCAGGCCCATGTCATGATTAACCAAGCACTCTTCTCGTGCCACTTTATCTTCAATGAAGATGCCATATCTCACAGTCAGCTGAGATGTTCTCCATGGCCCATAGCCTTTCTTCTTTGTGATGAGCTTAACTGACTGCCACCTCATATTGCTCTTGTATGGATTTTGATACAAGAAGACCCCAATTTCTGTGAATCCTTATACCCACGACACATCTCCAGTCGTCCTTTGAGTAAGGGAGCAGCAGTGAATAGGCTCTGCATGAAGTTGACCTTGTTGATACAAGGAGTCCATCAGGAGCTCTCCCTCAGCCTTTTCAGGGTTTTTCTCAGTGCCAGGACTAAAAATGGAATGACTCACCTTTCATTTGACATGGGAGCATGAGGCAGGACAGTAGCATCCAAGCCACCATTGGCAATGGCGATGGAGAGCATCCTGTCTCTCTGGATGAGGCTGTCAAGGTCAGCAGTGCCAGTTTCTCAGGGAGAGGGCAAGTGTGACACCCACCCACTTCTCCAATTCATCCTTTCTTCTATCAAAATTCCCAGGTAAAAGTTGGGTTTCCAGGAAAATATCTCACTCCCCAAGGACACCAACAGAAAAATAAGGTTTGGTATTCAGGCTTGCCAGCTAATGACAAGAAAGTGGGACCATGAAGGTGCTGGGAAAGGCTAGGAAAGTATTCCACAAGATTTCTGAAATGCAGAGGTGTCCCTTTCCAGCAAAGCTTAGGAAATGTCTCAGGTGTCGCCTCTTCCCATAATGGATCAACACTTTCTCAAAAAGTTGAATTTTCCAGGCAATGAAATCGTTCCTAATATATTACAGTGAATTAAGTTATCCATATCCCTCTTTTTGTTCAACTAATAGCTTAATGAATTTTGTCTTGGAAATTTGACTTCACTCTCCTAGTTCACAATTCTGACAAAATGTGTTATGTGACAATGTTTCTGAAAAAATATTTTTCCATCAAATTGTATATTAACTTTTTCAAAACTTTTTAGAAGGCATATTTAATGACAGTATTATTAGATACCTAATCTTGCTCAAAACAACTCATACTCAGCCACTTTAATTAGAATGAACAAAGATGTGCTTAACCTTTTGAAAAAATAACTGAAGACTGAATCTCATTCAGGTGTTTTTTCAAGAAGAATCACTTGACTTTGTCAATATTTATACTATTTTAAAAGTACAGTGTAGTGCTGCTGGCAGAGAGACTAAGGGACCTAGTTATTAGCTTCACGGGTATAATAAAACACAGGAAGAAATTTTCCAGTCCACAGTAAGTAATGCATGAAGAAGATCTTCAGAAGGGAGGAAGTTCTGAAGTGTCAAAGATGGAAACCCTACAGTCCTACCCAGAGATGCATGGAACCCTCAGCAAGGGAATCGAAAGGATTGGATAAGAATATCACTGTCCTCCCATTGTTCATTGATTTGCTTGAGTGGGCACCAGTAACATCTCCATTGTGAAACTTGTTCTTACTGCGCTTGGCATATAGAATACACCACCGGGAGCTTGCCAGGCTGTGCCGTGCAGGCAGGATACTCTCAGTAGATGCTGGGCTTTCTAAGAAGAACAGAGGAATCAAACCAGGGTCACCCGCATGCAAGGCAAACACTCTACCCTCCAGTCCAGGATAAGAATATGAAAAGATAATCAAGTGTGCAATGCTTTCCTTGTGATAACACCAAAATTAACATCTACTTATGACAGAAAATATCAAACCAAGACCATTTAGAGTTATGGCATAAAACCCAGTGATGAAAGTTAGAGAAAATGTATCTAAGGTAAGATTTGTTTTCCATATACATAGGAGTTCCAAACCAATCGCCAGACACAGAGTGAAGGAGAGAGAGAATCCACATACAAAGACTGTCATTGCTCAGACATCGCATATAGGTTTTAGAAATGAAGAAAGATGTGTAAAATTCAATCTGGCAGCATTCTGGGAAAGGGCGGATGGTTGTCTGGAAGAAGGAAAAACCCAAGATCCTTCTTAGCCTTCCCTAGGAGTAAATAATTCCCCTAGCCGAAATCTCCTGGAATTAATGCCCAAGCTTTCCCAACATCCTGATGATGTCACTTGCTTGTTATTCATATTGTGGCCACCCTCCAACTAACCATAAAAGCCTGGTGATTCCTGAGTGAACTCATAGTACCAGATACCTTCTATCCAGGTAAGTGGAAGTGAGACATCATAGTGCATTTATCTGACATGCTCAGGGAAGATAGAGCTGATTCTCTTTGTTGAGG